GAATCCCAAAGACGTCATCGAGTCACCACTCAATCAGGAGCGCCGTGCTTCCCTAAGGGCAGCCAGGCGAAGGAAATTTGACTTCAGAAAAAGCGCAAGTAACAAACAAACGTTGTCTCTTGCTGATCTGGTGCAAAAAATTTTTAGCCCCCTTTCACACATACAGACCTGAGTTGTATGTGTGAACAGGTCCTTTTTGAAAATACAGGTAAATTCGTTCTGGCTATTTTCCGGAAAGAGAAGTTGTAACATTACCGGCAATTTGCCGGAATGCTGCGCTGTGTGAATGCAGAAGGAAGATTCCCGTAATAAGCGCGTGCACGTCTAGAACGTGTTGACGTGAGACGTCTGCTTTAGCCAATCACAACAGTCAGACGCATTTACGTCCGCGCGGTTTGTGAGAATAAAAGCCTTTGAATATTTTTCCAGACACATTTAGCTGCTAGAAGTTAGTCAGATCACGTTTATATGTTCTTCTTAATGCCAACTGTGTAAATAATCATCGATGAGATGCTCATGATAAGCCGTTGTTTGTTTACCTTCAAGCTTTGCGTGTGCCTGTGAAACAGCCTGTGAGCGCCTGCACACGCACATATTATGAACATCTCGACATGCGAAAGTGATCCTGCGAAAGTTGTTCACAATATTGATCATCCACAGAGTTTTTCATTTAGTCAAACGTTTGCAAATACAAGCGCAGCCGTTTAAAGCTCATTTGTGGTGAATGATGTCAGAATTTACCGGTATTTTGGAATGGATGTGTGAATGCTCTTTTCTGGAAAATTTCCGTAACGTCCTCGCCTGTGTGAACAGCGATTTTTTTCAATATACCGGTAAAGTCTTTCCGGAAATTTTCCAGATATTTACCCGTATCACTGTGTGAAAGGGGCTAATGTCAACTCATTTTGCATCTTCTGAACTGTATGTATGTATGAATTTGTGTGTGCGTTTGTTTGTTTGTTTGTTTTTTGCTTATTATGTAGTTAGTTTCATATATCGTAGTGTAGCTCAATAAATCTTTTTGTAGTCCCCAAAATTTGTTCATTGTAGGCTTTGCTGAGCTAACTCTGTAAAAACCAAGGTCTCCCTTTGCATTGAACTTTTAGCACTTTACATTCAGAGATGCTCTTTATGTTCACACAGCTACATTACACATCAACTAAGTTTAAAATTTGATATCGTAGTGGACCACCCCTTTGAAAAAGGCATCATTATATTTGAGTAGTAAATTGCAGAACTTCCAGATTTCTCAACTGCTGTGTTATCACTATATCTTTTTTTTTTTTTGTAACTAAAAGAAAAAATCTAGCTCAATTGCCAAAATGATGCTCTCAAAGCGTGGATATGCACTAAAAGTATTGCCCTGAAATTATTTTTTAGCCCTAATTGAAGAAGAGTACATCAGGAACTGTACGGTAAGCGCCAACCCTCCAATTAAATCGGATGTGAAATTAATTACATTTGTAAATTATTACTTGCCATTTCTGACACATGACGGTAGGGGACTGAGAAAAGAGGAGATGGTGTTCCCCCGGGGGGATTCATTAAGACATGATGTCTGTGAGGTACATCATTCTGCAGTGATTAAAAAGGCCCATCAAAATGCACAAGATGGGAATCAGTCCATGCATATTAAATACCTCCCACTATGACAGACATGGCAGAAGCGCAGATGGAGAGAAATGGAGGGCCCGTCTCTCTCCACGAGCGTATCCCAAGAACCACTGTTCTGGCACAGCAAACCCCAATGATAATGAATGACCCGAATATAGCCTGTCTGCCTGGATCAGCTTGAGTAATAAATGTATAACGCGTCTTCTGTTTATTTATGGATTAGGAGGCAGTGATGCAAACAATTGTTACGCTGTGATGTCGATGTTTATTAGACAGCGCCGTTTTAGGTGAGGATCGGCCGCATGCTTGTCTTTGGTGAAAAATATGTTATGTTTCACCCAGCAGTGCTTCTCATAAATCAATGAACATATCCGCATAACCTCTCTCTCTTTTTCATAAATGCCCACACACACACAAACATGCACACAGCTATCCTTATAGGGACTTCCCATAGACATAATGTTTTTTTTTATACTCTACAAACTGTATATTTCATCCCCTTACTGCTAAACCCAACACTCACAGGAAACAATCTGCATTTTTACATTTTATAAATAGTCAAATTGGGGTCATTTATGAGCCTTTGAATTCTTGGGAACCAAAAAGAAAATCTCCACAAGGTCAAAATTGACTAGTATTGCTATACTACTGTGGAATTTTGGTCCCCAAAATGTAAAGAATACAACACATGCACTTAAACGCACACATATGCAAAAAACACACATGTATGCATGGTTTATAAGGACTCTTCATAGGCATAATGTATTGTACACTGTAAATACAACTTATTATGCAGAGTTTTCCTCCCCCTCTCCCTAAATCCAACCCTCACAGAAAACCTGTGGTAATTTTTGAATGTCAAAAGACCCTGTTAAGTATGGTTTAAAGCGTTTTGAATTACGAGGACACAATGCATGTCCCTGTTAATCATCTTAATTAAGTATAACTAGGCCATACCAATGTTATTATACAATTTTGTGTCCTCGTACACCATATAAATAAGTACACACACACACACACACACACATTCATTCACGCACAGAAAAAGACACTTACACACACGCACGCAGGTAAGCACACACACAACTAAAACTTTTTTCTTGTATCTATGGTTTGTTTCATTTCAGGTGAAACTCAAACCAATAAATCGGAGGAATTCTGTGCCCAATTATGTGGCATCAAAACGGCACAAATCAGATCAGTGGATTTACTACTCTATATTGCTTTGTTGTTTACTGTGGTGTAGGTAAAGAGTGGGCTAATAACTGTAAAGTTTAAGTTAAAAACTTAAATTAATTTATTCCATTATTCTGCTCCAGGGAAAATGTCTGTAATAACTGTTTAAGTAAGTTGCTTTTATTAAAAGTTTTAGTTAAATTATTATTTTCTATTTTATTTTAAATAATGTTTTTCTATTCCATATCTAACTGAATTCTAGATTTCTTAAATGCAACTGCAAATAATACTATCCTTGCTGATGTTGCCTTGATGAAGGTGCCAGCCATATTGGTAGTGTCCAGGAATGTGCACTATTCATAGCTTTAAATTAATATATTTAATAGCCTTGACAAAACCTACTGAAATTGGAATTTGATCTTTTTGGTTTAGGTAAAGGTGAATGCTCTATTAAGCTTTTATACATGCATTAATACCTTTTTTATCAAGCATGCATTAAATTTACAATAAGTGACAAAAAACATTATAAAGCACAAACTTAACTTATTAAAATGACTTCTAAAGCATCATGTGCTGCGAAAAAAACTAATAAATATTACAAATATATAGTACATATATATATATATATATATATATATATATATATATATATATATATACATTTATATATTTATATACAGTTGAAGTCTAAATTATTAGCCCCCCTTTTTAATTTTTCCCTAATTTCTGATTAAGGGAAAGAATTTTTTTTTTTTTTTTAAAAACACATTTCTAAACATAATAGTTTTAATAACTCATTTCTAATAACTGATTTATTTTATCTTTGCCATGATGACAGCACATAATATTTTACTACATATTTTTCGAGACACTTCTATACAACTTAAAGTGACATTTAAAGGCTTAACTAGGCTAATTAGGTTAACTAGGCAGGTTAGTCTTTTGGTAGTTTCAGCTTGGCGCAAGAGTCGTTTTGAGGCGTTGCGCTACGCTGTTTAAATAGCAAATGCATTAGCGCTCAATTTTGCGCCCATAGGTGTTCTGGTCTAAAAAGGAAGGCGTTCTGAGGCGGACCGCTGGCGCGTTGCTATTTTGAGAAACTATAATAGATTTTTCATTAGACCAAAACTAACCCGGTCTAAACTCGCTTACACACTGCTTAATACGCACAAGAGAGCAATAAGCAAATATCTTTACATATGAAAAAATGTAAATATTAAGGATATATATAGTATATAATAAGAATAGATATAGAATATAAATATAAAGGATTAAAATATTACAAAACATACTATTTTCTAGCCTACATAAATATGAAAAATCACTGCTTTTATGTCTTTTTCATCTCGGGAGGCTTTTTTAGTTCATTCATAACAATTTGCTTTTGTATAATGTTATTATTATTAGCAGTATTATTTATCATATCCATATTTATATTTATATTTGTTTTATTAAAAACAAGCTTAGATTTGCCCACCTGTCAGGTTTTAGACCATATGGGGCACAGCATGTGTTTTAGGATAGAACTCAGGTTTTTGAGCACATTTTGTTATTATTATTCATTTATTCGTTTGCTGGAAATTAGAACTGAATTTAGAAATAGTTTTGAAACGAATATTTGCGCTTAACAAACAAAATAATTTATTTTTAGACTAATTGATGTCTGTGCGTAAAGGTTTCCCTATCCAATAAAGCGAGAGTGAAAGTGATCCATTATCTCTCATTCTCATGCAGAAGCTGTTTGCTTGTAAAATGCTAATTTTTTCCACTTAGACTTACTTTGCGTCCTGTAAATAGCGAATGCGCTCTTGGCGCGACGCAGCTGACTCTTAAAGGGAGTGGGAGACGAGACTCTAATTGGTTTATTCTCAAAACACACCTATAACTCATTAAGAAAATAAACTCCACACTTTTAGACCATGCGCCACGGCGCAAGGCAGATTTCCTGTCCTTAAATTAGCAAAAACGCGTCCTGACATGCCCTGAAAGCGTTTGTGCCCTGCGTTTTGCGCTCTGCGCATGGACCGTCAAAATAGAGCCCATAAGCTCACAGAGATACTCTAATTTACCTCATGATGTTCAATGTAGCAAATTTTAATTGTTGTTGCTATTGAAAATGTATTAAAAATCCAAGAAATTATGTAAAAGACAGAAAGACAATTATTAAATTCAGTTGTGTGCGGCTCACGTTTTTAATAGGGTTCACCCACCTCTCCCCAGGCAGCTGGCAGTGGCTCCACAGGTGGGTAATATTTGGGCAGGTCCCAAGCCACAGTGTTCATATACCATTTGAAGTCTTTACATTTGAGGTGTTTTCGGAGCTCTTTCTGAGCGGTAAGGTCACCGGTGGAAAGGTGGCGGTACTCGGGCCGCCGCTGATAGATGTACTCTGTGTACTCATCCATCCATGTCTCTGCAACTCGCTTCAGGTTCTGGGAAACATATTAAAGGGGTCATGAATTGAGAACGTTTCCTTGATCTTTTGACATGGAAGATGACATTGTATTATAAAAACATCAAGTAAGAGTCAGAACTGAAAACCTTGTTAGTGCAAAAACACCTTTTATTGAAAACAATGTGAAGCTTGTGTTCCAGTCTGTCATGAATGTGCTCAGGATTGTTTCAGTAAAAATAAAGTTACTAATATTGTAAATAATGCACACTTTCTTTAATAGACCAATTGTTTTGCTTCATTGATTAAACCTTAATATATATTGTTTGCTGGTATAAATGTTGCTTTTTTGAAAGCAGGTATTGTATTACATTTAATGAATCGATAAGTACCCCGTTTTGGATGACCTGAGGGAGAGTAAATTACCAATGTTTTGGGTGAACTATTCCTTTATCTACATTCAACCTCAATAGCAACAAGTTGCTTGTAATACATGAGCACTATAAGCAGCCTGTGCCTAAAATAAATGTTGGGTGTACATAAATAAATAAACAAACAAATATATAAATAAGTAAATAAATAAATAAATGCATAAAATAAATAAGTTGACATAAAAATTCATAGCACATCAATAACAAATTTATTATATATGTTTACTTATATAGCTATCATCAAAAGTATCCTATAAATAAATAAACTAGCTATTATTATTTATTATAAAACAATGTATTTTTCATATTTTAAATATTTTAATAACTATTTATTTTAATTTGAAATTAAACATTATTGGATATTATATATATATATATATATATATATATATATATATATATATATATATATATATATATATATATATACACACATATATATATATATATATATATATATATATATATATTTTTTTTTTTTTTCTTCAAATAAAATATAATATATATTTTATATAAACTATATTTCATATAAAATAAAATATATTTTTGTCAAATAAAATTAAATATAAAAATTATATAACAAATATTAAAATATTTTGAATATGAAAATACAGATTATTTAATAATAAATAATAATAGCTTGTTAATTTATTTATTTATAGGATACTATTTATGATAGCTATATTAGTAAATAGACATATTAAATTTGTTATTGATGAACTACAAATTTTTATGTGAGTATATATATATATATATATATATATATATAGACCAGATGAAAATTCTTACTTTTTTTTTTTTTTGAAATATGGGTTTATAGTATTGTATTTGAGTAAAATGTTAATTTTAGTTTATTCTACAAACCATCAATGAAATTTCTTCCAATTGCCAAGTACAGGTATTGTGAATAAATTTTCTTGTTTTAATAAACAAAGTGCTTGATTTCCAGACATATATTAATTTTTAGACATCCCAAAACCAAAGTTTTAACTTTAGATGTCCTAGAAACCTGATATTCATAATAAACAATAAATGCCAATATTTTTTATTTGAAATGTTAATTAAAAATGTTATCGAAACTTTATAAAATAAAACAAATAATAACATTTTTACATCCAGAAAAACAGACAGTTTTCAAGTGCACATTGTTTTTCCATAACTGTAAAACAAAAGCAGACTCTCCCTACAATATGTCTCTCATCTTGGCTGCGGAATCTGAATAAAAGTATCTCAGGAACATTGTGAATCTAGAGCACTAGCACAATTGGGCCACTGCAGAAAAAAACCCTCCATCCTTTCTCATTTGGAGGGATAGTACAAGTTCTACTCACTCTTGCCAGGCTGGTCCCTGAAGGCACCTTGTAGGGGACGTACTTCCTGTAGATATGGCCCACCCTCGAACAAGGCACATCGTACATGCTGCCTCCGCACATCCACACCTGAAAAGCCACAAACGCACACACATTCAAACATTTACACTACATCACCATACAAGCAGAGACGTTTCCATTCAACATTCGCACAGACAGTCGAAAAACCCTCATCCATTTGAGCTCCTACACAGGCAGTCTGGGTTGGTCTCAGTGGGAATATGTGGACAGACTAGCTACGTTTCCACATCATACCAGATACAAGCAATGTCCTCACCGTGGGCTCCAATTACAGATCGACTGCCGCATTCGGCGAAGGAAAGAAGTCGAGTTTTCCAACCGCCTCAGGCTTGTGTCTCTACTTTTCCTCTTTACACCAAAAGAAAAGAGAGATAAAGAAAAAGAAAGCGGTGTGTTCAATATGCTTTTCTTCCCCATCTCTCTCTGTTTCTGTTCTACTAAGGCCAAGGCTTTGATGTGTCTGTCTGTATTGAGTATTGGCTCCGGCTTGGTGGAGTGTGGACTCGGCCAGGGCCACTGACACACAGAGGGAGGTGAGAAAGCTCAGGGAAAAGGGGGGGCTTCTAGTCGGGCGAGTTGAGTCTGATGGTTTCTCTCTTCCTCAGTCACCCGCTGGGCCCGGGAGAGCCATCTGCGGATATCAAACCGCACAGACCGATCTCTCCTGCAGGGTGGCGGGTTAGCGGTCAAGCTAACTTCACAGACCTCATCGTTACAGGGAGAAAAATCGCTCGAACACATCAGTACCACAAAGCGAGCGAGAAAAAGCCCCTCATTTGAGGATAAACGAGCGAGCCTTGTAACAAATGACATTTTAGGAATAATTTTCACATTTTTTTTCACTGCCTCTTTTATCATAAAGCATGGAGGAGGAAGGCAGTCGTGGCAGGACTTTATATATTAAGATGACTTGAATCGCATTTAAAAAGCTGCCTGCCTGGAACAGATGGATGAATCTTGGATGGTGCGTGGCAGGCAACCGATCAATGGGACGACGCCAGGCCAAATCCCACTCGGTTTGTAGTCGCATGTCAGATCCAGTGTATTACTATAGTACACATTCTCAAATGGAGGACTGTTTGGGATGCTGTCGAGGTCAAATGTGAAGCATACAACTTCTTTTGTTTGTTTACTGATTACAACACAATAACCATTACTACAATATATGACATACAGTTACACACATTTAAAGCATACTAGTACACAAAATACAAAGTGCCACTTTTGGAATTCACATACTCGTTAAGCCAAAGTTTACTTCAATTATTATAAGATTGTGCTTCCCACACATACTTGGGTCGGCCACCCAGGTATATTAACGGCCACCCAAGTATTTGGTGACACTCCTTTTTTTACTATTATCATCCTTATATATTTTTTTGTATCCGCCTAATAGCCAAACATCCACGATCGATCGTGTGCGTGAAAACTGTCAACACTCACACAGACAATCTCACATGCTCTGCAGAGACCGACAGAGAAGCACCTTTTTGGAACTTAAAAATACTTCCGTCCAGGATTTTAATCTGCTAAAGTGTCAAGGATTCGGCTTTTGGTTTTGTTTTCTAAGCAGTCGTTAATTGTAGGGATTTTCAGATCCAATCATGTGATCGGAAATCAGGGACGATCACGCGGTTTCAGACTGGATCGGAATCGAATGTTAGCTCCTGATCAGGACTTGAATATATATGTGTGTGTGTGATTGTGTGTGTGTACACACACACACACACACACACACACACACACACACACACACACACACACACACACACACACACACACACACACACACACACACACAACATACATACATACATACATACATACATACATACAGTTGAAGTCAGAATTATTAGCCTCCCTGTTTATTTTTCCCCAATTTCTGCTTAATAGAGAAAAGATTTTTTCAACACATTTCTAAACAATTATTTGACATTATATTCAAATTATTTTACAATAATAATGAGAATATATTCAATAATATAGCATTGCTTGTCGGGTGTTTTATGTTGAGGTGCTATTTGTATTTATATTAGATTTTTTTTAAATTTACTATTGCAGTAAAGTACAAAAGATTATGTTATTCATTTTATATTTTAATGATTTATGTTATTTATTACTTGAATGTTCAAGCTACCTCACAGAAGTGTCCTGTTTGATAACAGAGTTGTTGAATGTTAAAATAAGGTGAAAAAAAATAAAAAAAACATCCTGGATCTGTTTCTTCGCTCTTCTTTATTCTTTTTTTATGTATTATAGATGTATCAGATCAGGTTTTGGTATTGGTAGACACTCAAAATCAAATTACTTGGACTCGCGTTCGAGGGCGAAGAAAAGAAAAACCTGATTGGAACATCCCTAGTTAATTCTATGAGTTTTTGCGATATATTCCTATTTTTAACCTGATTTACTTTCACTTGGCTTTGGAGCTGATGCACAGCCGCACGAGCGAGAGAAACATTAAATAATTAATTCTTTAATCTAAATGACTCAGATAAACTTTTCTATATGCTCAGAGGATGAACTTAAATCTAAACTGGCTGCAAAGTATTTGTACACCATTAGAAATGGTTAATTAACTCATTTTGCCTTATTTAAATAATCTACATTTTTTTTATTCTTGTAACTATTATACTTTTAGTAGATATGGTTTGTTTTTATTCCTTTATGTCATTTATTTCTCAATTGCTGTATATTATAATTTGATGATGTTGATTGATGCTATATTTTATACTGTGCAAAATTTTATCTGCCAGTGGGTGCACATGGCTCCTGAATATAATAAAAGATTAGTTATAATAGTGTATTTCTTTTTTATTTCAACAGTCTTTTTTAAATTTCAACCCATTGAAAAGAAACAGTGTATAACAGTGTCATAAGTGTGTATCAACAGTGTCACCACCGCAAGTACACTTAAAACCTGTGGAAAGCACTGTAAGATTAGAAAAAAGGGGAAAACTCCTGTCATCAACTGATTTTTCAAAATATCTAGTTAGTATTGTTTATGACCTATATTAATATTACTACTACCAATACTACTAATATTAATAATAATCAATAAGTAGGTCCACAAGGAATCTCTGCTTGCAGATTTCCGGCGATTATTGGTCCATCTATTTATTTTCTTGTGTAATTGTGTGCAAATTTATATTTATTCAGTTTTTTAAATTAATTTCAATCAATACTAATTTCGGGCGAGGCAGTGGCGCAGTAGGTAGTGCTGTTACCTCACAGCAAGATCATTGCTGGTTCAAACCTTGGCTCAGTTGGTGTTTCTGTGTGGAGTTTGCATGTTCTCCCTGCCTTCGCGTGGGTTTCCTCCGGGTGTTCTGGTTTCCCCCACACTCCAAAGACATGTAGTACAGGTGAATTGGGTAGGCTAAATTGTCCGCAGTGAATGAGTGTGTGTGTGAATGTTTCCCAGAGATGGGTTAATACCCCCGGATTAATAAAGGGACTAAGCCGACAAGAAAATTAATGAATGAATGAATACTAATTTCATAATAATATATAATATTGACTAATATGAGAGTATATATTTGATTTATTTACAATACAGTTTGTAAAGTAATATTTTCTGTCTTTTAGTAGATATAATAGATGAGAGACTTGCTTGTTTTTTTTTTTTTTTTTTTTAACCAAATAATTGAATCTAATTGGATTTGCATTGTAAACATTACATACCAGTTAAAAATGTATCATTTTTTTTTATTTCAAATAGCAAAAAAAGTTCACAGATTCTGTGTGGCCCTATCAATAAGTAATGTATCATTAGTGTGTTATCAATTATTACTCTAAAAAAAGGTATAAAAAGGTGACCTGAATTTCTCATAAGATATATAGCTTTTTGGCTGTAGCAGTCATCCTTTCCATGACCATATGTTCTAATAACAAACTCAACCAATAATCAACATTTATTAAATGTTTACTTTTCCAGTGTTGACGTATAGCTTTCTTAACTAATTTTAAGGTGACGCACACAACTTCATGAACTGCGCATAATAAGCAAGAAATCTGTCAAACAGCCGGTTTAGCCTCTAAACTATTTTTTGCTGTTGTCATGGTTACAGGCGAGCCACGGAGGATGGTGTTCCAATAACAAAGTTCAGTGCCAGCGCAAGTGAGAGTCTAATGAAAAAGAGTGGGGTGGCAGGTATGTCAGAACTGATAAATAGAACACTTCCTCACATCCATCGGCACCAGTTTTGGCCCCGCTAATCAAAACCGAATCACTTCAGAGCCGCGGCCAATCACGGCATCGCACAATCTAATTAGCTTCAGCAGTCCAGTCAGTCTAAACACATACGCACAAACACCGACTCACAGCTTCGCTATCTTCGCCGACTGGGGTTTTGCTTTTGCCTCTGAGGCTTCGCTTAGTAGCTTTGAAAAAGAAAATAACCTCTGCCGCCCAATCTCATTCGAGGGGTTTATTGTCGAAAGGAATGAGAAGAGATTGTCTAGACAGACAGACATGGCACTTCACGTTAAGTGGGAGAAAAAAGGAATCTGGTATTGCTATAGTTAGCGGTTCGCAATGGATCAGGAGTGATGAGGTTTCTGGAGTGTGCGACTTCGAATCCATTTTAAGGACTGAACAAAGCATTAGAGCGAGAGACTATCTTATTGTGTTCTGTTTGATTGTTTTTGGTCTGTGAGGCCAACAACAGGAAGCAGCCTTGGTAAATTCTGTGAGTTCTGAGGGATTATTTGTGACTTGCATACATGAATAGAAGCTTTAACTCACCTTGAAGGATATTTCAAACTGCTCGCCACCCCAGATCTCAAGGCCTGTGTCGTAACCTCCCAGCTCCCAGAACCACTGTCGGTTTACAGCAAACAAGCCTCCGGCCATCACAGGAGACCTGTGGGAAGCCAGAAAAAACAACTTAGCCACATCTAAAACTTCATACTGCATTTTTAGGACAAAGTCTTAATGGAAACTGATGACAAATTAAGGTCAAGTAACCCCTGGAGAAAATCTGTGAGAATCAGGAAGAAGATTTCAATGAGAAAAGATGATGAATCACTAATGCTTTATTATTTTTTCACTTGTAAATATAAATACACTAGAGCTTGTATGACGACTAGTGAACTGGTCATACAGCAAGTCAGTCAACTAGTCTACAGGTCAGTGTTTACCATATGTACATAACTTCCAATAAAGAGTACAGCATCCAAGCAAATCCAACACTGCACTGACAGAGAGTTTGCGAGTGGAGTGCCAGTTTTCTTGTTACCTGCATTGTCATAAATAGTGCAAAAACTGTCAAGTTTCCACTCGGCTATAGTTTCTGCCAGCCCCATGGCAACATCTGATTTGAGTAAGAGCAGTATAAAAACCCCATAGGACTTTGTTGTCATATTTTAATAGTTCATGGTGTTAATATCAGTGGATTGTTTACATTAAACTCTAGTTTCAGTTTATTTACAATTGCTCTTATAGTGGGGGCAATAAATCTTCAACATATCACCATTTTTCTCAGAAAACCTATTTCTAAAGGTGTTGATGACTTGAAATTATCACCACATGTTGGTAACAACGAAATAAATACATACATGTAAAGAAAACCAAAAAAGTTAGGTGTAATAAAATAAAATTACACTAGGAAAAAGTATTGAACACTTGAAAAAAGGGAGGTGTAGAAAGGCAATGAAAGCCCAGACGGCAGCTGAAATCTCTTGGTTAGAAAGCAACCCTTTTCCCTTCGCAATTGTAAATGAACTTTAGTTGTTTCAGTTCATTACCATGAAGATGAAACCAGAGTGGACATTTCATTTCAGCAAGACAATGAACCAAAACACAGCCAAGAAAACTCTCAGAACTCCCAGAAAACTGTTTCAGAGAAAGAAATCGAAGCTGTAGAATGGCAGAGCCAATCACCTGAATTGAATCCAATAGAAAATACAAAATAAAGCTCAGATTTGATAAATGAAACCCAAAGAACCATCACATTTTTTACACTCTCTTGAAGTGTGTGAAAAAACCATACCTAAATATTTATTGTGACTCCATTTTCCATATGAGAGGCGTCTTTAAGCTGCCATGATTAAAACAGCCCTTTATAAGTATCAAATAGATTTCCAACCCAAGCTCATTTTGAAAAGTAGCCCAGCGGATGTTTCTGGAGACCGCAATTTACATGACCAGAGGTACGTATTGCTGCATTTCATTTTTTCAAGCGAACGATACGGGGCGGTGTGACGGCTCTCCTCTTTACGCTCGCCGGCTGACGGCTCACATGCGTGTGGAGGGCTTTCCTGCCGTAACCAGTTTGTCCGGTTAGCTCGTCGTGTTACATCAGCGGAGCGGAGCTGGCCGCGACAACCGAGTTCGAGTCCTGGGAAGAGCGGTTCCAGAAATCAGGTAAGACAAAAATTGGGTAAGCTAAATTGTCCTTGGGTATGTGTGTAAATGAGTGTATATGGATGTTTCCCAGAGATGGGTTGCATCCACTTCGTAAAACATATGCTGGATAAGTTCATTCCGCTGTGGCAACCCCAGATTAATAAAGGGACTAAGCCGAAAAGAAAATGAATGAATAAATGAATGAATTAACCTGAATTAATTTGAATCATGAATTAAGCAATTAAACCCAAAAAGTTCATGCATCTATTTACAAGTAAATAGTGTGATTTATCCATGCATGCCACGTCTGGTATGAACAGCACTAAATGTACAAAATCGAGAAGATGAAAACAGGGTAACACTTTACAATAAGGTTCATTAGTTAATGCATTTACTAACATGAACTAATCATGAACAACACTTGTACAGCATTTATTAATCATAATTGAACATTTACTAATGCATTATGAACATTCAAGTCCATGCTTGTTAACATTAGTTAATGCACCATGAGTTAACATAAACTAACAATGAACAACTGTATTTTCATTAACTAACGTTAACTAACATGAATAAATACTGTAGTAAATGTATTGTTCATGTTAGTAAATGCATTACTTAACATTAACTAATAAACCTTATTGTAAAGTGTGACCGAAAACTGGTCTAACTACAGCTATAAGAGTATAAAGTAGTCAACCCTTATTGGGATCAAGCTGAAATGCTGGGCTCTAATAAGATACGGAATCACAATTTAAATACAACATTTTTATGCCTGTTCATCCATCTAAGCATAAACACACACAAAAAGCAACAATCACGCATATCTTTAACACAACAACAACAACAAAAAAAAAGGTCATGAGCACAAAAGAGTCTTACAACCCCACAACTGTATTAACCTTAAAATATGTCAGTTGTCAGCCGGTTTGCATATATTGGGACAGAATCCAATGGGCATCTTTGCTGCATCATATCTTACAAAAAGCAGAGAGTATAAACACATGGAATCATCATAGCATGAATTAATAAGCTCATTTTACTTTCATGCATCTCCCCAGGCTTCTGTTTTGAAATGTGAATCATAATCTACATCTGTAAACAGTCCCTAATGGTAGAATCAGACATATGCTGCAAGCTCAGTTTTGCTCACTGACACGATCAAGCTCACGGTCCAGTCAAGATCGCTCAGGTGAAAAACACAGAGGTTTAGAGGCCAGTTCAAGGCAGGATCTTAGTGATAAAGAATCTCTGTTAAGCTCTGAGTGAAATCAAAATTTGCAATGCTTATTGGTAGTGCATATTGCTATTCTTTAGATGAACAATTATTCCATACAAGGTAATTCAAATAGGAAAAATGTTTTGGGAATCTTTAATCAAGTTCTGACCATTTACTTCCAGGTTTGAGATGGTCATTCTGACTGCAGAGTTGCACTTGCACTTTCTAGCTTGCACTCAGTCCTCACTATGCAAATGTAATTTTAAGGGTATTTACATCCAAATCAGGTGAACTGTGTAGTAATTACAACATTTTGCATATGTGCCTCCCACTTGTTAAGGGTCCAAAAGTAATTGGACAATGGGCTACTAAGCTGTTCCATGGCCAGGTGTGTGTGATTGAATGATTAATAAATCCATATGAAACAGTCCCTTAAAAGTCATGTCTCGCTTTCAGTTTCGAGCTTTGCCGAATTTTGCACTCACAATACAAGCCTACCGCGTCAAAGCCCAAGTGAACCGCGCTCAGGCCCACCTCTTCCAAACAGGCCAGGGCCAGGGCCAGCCAAGTGAACCGTGCCTGAGCTCGATTCAGCGCACTCACACTTCTTAAACAATCCAGGAAACGGGCCTGGGCCCGTTACTTTTGGCTTATTTGTGTTGATTGCATGACGTGACAGGAGAGTGCAGGTGCCGATTGTAAATGATGTCACTTGTATAGGAAGCGTGGGTGCCTGAGAGTGCAAGCCCAAGAGTGCAAGCCTGAAAGTGCAAGTGCAACTCTGCAGCCAGACCCTTCTCGGTCATTCTCTGTTAATGTCAGTTTGATGACTTCAGCCACAATATTCTTAAGCACACCCTTCTTATTGCTACAAGGGAATGATGCACACACAAACACACACAAACACAAGAGACCCACCCCCAAACTTATTTATTTTCAGTTGTAAGTACATGAGCATACTGAATTAAAAGTCTTAGCAACTTCTGGTTCATGCGGACTTTAAACAGATGTCATCCAAACATGCAGATTTGCTCATTACTCCTTTCATTAATCCTCAGCGTCCTTGCAAAACATGCATTCGGTCATTATTTCACATTTCACATACACTTATGGGGCTTAAGCCTGCCAATGGGGTTTGAGAGAGGATACTGATGGATTTAATGGATCGCTCCAGTTGTACAGTGGTGTTTGAATCCCGAGACTTGGTTAAAGCAGACATGAAGCGGTATAAAGTGCCTGTTGGTGTAAGTAGTGCAATCTTTTAATAGAGCAAGTGGGATGAAATATGGTAATGCAGGGGCTGGAATGACAGCATGTTTTGGGATTATGGTTATGCATATACTGCACTTGCACTTGGTTCAGATGACAGAGAGCTCTGGGTTGAGAGCGGATTTGCGGTGGATTTATTTATTCAGTATTTTGAGCATTGAAGGGGTAAAGCTGAGATGATCTATTGGAGGACGTTTCACTCGTTGTTGGTGCAGATGGCAAGCAATATTTCATTTATCATGGGTGGTGTTCACACAGTCGATGTAATTGACAACTGCTTTCACTAACGATTGAATTGACCTTTTACAATTGTGTGCATTAACTGCTGCTGCAGATTTAAATTTCTGCTGGTGGATGCGCACTTTACATTGCACTGCCCCCATATACTGTATACTGTATATATTATTTGATAACTGATAGGTGCAGATCTATTATTGACTAATTATTTGGCTCATCAAATTTTGGAGTAAAGGACAAGTTATACTTAATTTTTATTTTTTTTATTTAACAAATTATCTTTATGTGTTTGATGAAGATTCAGGCTGTGTGGGTCTTGCATGATCCTCAACAAATGGACAGGGATAAACTAACACACACACACAAAAATATAACAAACACCTTGGAGACACAAAGAAGGAAAGTTTACAGTTGCTAGTTTTGTTAAAAATCTGATTAACTTATTGAATTAAAACAAAATTTATACAGTTAGGTCCATAAATATTGGGACATCGACACTATTCTAACATTTTTGGCTCTGTACACCAACAAAACAGATTTGAAAAAAATAAAAAATAAACAAGATGTGCTTTAACTGCAGACTGTCTGCTCTAATTTGAGGGTATTTACATCCAAATCAGGTTAACAGTGTAGGAATTACAACAGGTTGCATATGTGCCTTCCACTTGTTAATATCAAGAACACACTCCAGGAGGTAGGTATATTCGTGTCAAAGTCAGCAATCAAGAGAAGACTTCACCAGAGTGAATACAGAGGGTTCTCCACAAGATGTAAACCATTGGTGAGCCTCA